ACTAAACCGGCGTAGCGCGGAGAGGGGACTCGCTTCCACGGCCCCATAAATCACATCTGCACATGCGCAGACATGATCCGGCCCACAGAGCGATCTCCATGGGAGTGAACTGGCCCAGGCGAGGTAAACCTTGCCAACCCCTGCTCTAAGTACACCACCACAAACACAACAGCCTTATCAAAGGGGAACAGGTAAACCACATTTGGTCTGCTGTCTGCCAGCCTCTGCTTGAGACCTTAAAGCAGAGGAATCATGTACAATTAGACAGTATATGCTTTACAGGAAGACACAGAATACAGAATTTTGCATTGTTGCAAGTAAAGATGTGTGACGTGTGTGAAGTGACAGGCATTCTAAAAGAAAGCACGGTCTCAAATTCTTTCACATCAAAAACAACAACAACAAGAAAACACACACACACAAAAACAGGCACATCTTTCTCAAGGCTGAATGGTCATAACTCAGCAGCCTCTAGACACAGCAAGTGTGAACCTGACTTTGAAATTTAGAAGCCATGGAATTCTAGATTTTATAGGCTATCAACCGAATCTTGTTTTGTTTCATTTCATTTAGGGGATGGGAGGGGAGAGATGGAGAGAAAGATAAATCCCAAACAGACAAAAGCCGCAGAAAAGCAATCACTCTGGCTGGTGAGTGTTGTGGGATTTTCCTACAACTTTTTTTTTCAATCAAAATTTAATGAATCAAGAAACAGAAACAGATGTGGAGAACTGTTTCCCTTAATAAATCATGATGCATGCACTTGGCATGTGAAATGCAAACTAATCTGTTTAAATTACAAGAGTTAATGTGCTTATAAAAAATAATAGGATGTCTTCATGGTTTTAATCACAAAAATGTATCTTGAATTTCAGGAAAGATTACCCAGCTCAAGTATCAGATTTTACAGCTGAACACTCGTCATAGTAAGTTCCATAAACATCCACTAAGCAAATCTATTTTTCCTTATAACCCAAAGCATATAATTTACCTTTCAACCAATCTTGAATTACAGGTTATATTATGAATTTCACCACCTCATGGGATACAGAGGCACATCTTTTGCTTCTTTTTAATAACTATGGGTTCTCTTGTTTCTTTTGAGTCAATACTCATTAAAACAAAAACTCCATTTATGCAACTTTACAACTACAAGCTCCACGATTCACTGCAACGATGAAAAACCACGTGAACGAAAACCAAACAACTACAAAAAATCTATGATACAACATGACTGTGAGTGAAGTATACACATGTAACAGTAGGAATTACCTATAATGGAAGCAAGGTACCCACTGTTAACACAAACAGTTTGGTGCAGTTCTAATACTCTATTCTGTTATAATATACCCTTGTCAGGCACTACTCTACTGATGTATCCCCAAATGTTCAGTGGGAGTGCCAATGAGTTAATGTGAGTCGGAGCAGGATTCACTTTCCAAATGTCTGGAAAGGGTCCTGGCCACTGGCTCTTTCCCCTATGTGCCGGAGCACCTCAGACTGGCAAAATGCACACCAAGGGAAAAGAGCTCTTAAATGTCTACTTCGGCTACCACTAGAGGAACACAGGAAAAATCCAGAATATAGGCAATTGCTGTTCAGAGCACCCAATCTACGTGCCATAAACTGTCACTGTGAACATTTATGGTAGGCCATAAACACATATTTATTGCAGGGCAATTGCACCCTGTAGCCCAACCTATGGAGCAATGCTACTTATTGTGTCAAAAGCTTAGCAGGGAGCCTAGGAAAACACACATAACGCCTTTTGCTACCAGTGTCTTGTTACCACTTGCGGTTTGCCTGCTTTCAATTAAAAGCGGTGCTTCAGGGAGCCCCAAAATCATGTCATGTCATTATCATGATCATGCCATTATTATTTTAAAGCAGATTTATCCAACCTGGTGCCCTCCAGGTATTTTGAACTGGAGCTCCCATCAGCCCAACTGTGCTGGCTGGGGCCAATGGGAGTTGCAATCTAAAATACGTGGAGGGCACCAGGTTGGGGAAGGCTGCTTCAAATGTCTCCCCAATGAAAGTGATAATGCTTTCGAAGCTGCTCTTCTGGGTCTTGGTGTTTTCATACCTGCTGTGTCCTTGTGACAGTGGGGATGTAATACACATCTCACTCTGGGGCATTCCTACCTCAGTGGTGTGAATGATATTGTGGGCTGCAAATGATACACACACCTAAGTAAGTGGAGCCTGGTCTATTAGAGCCATCAACTTCAGTCTGCCCTCAGTCAGTCCTCACTGGCCTACATGCAACCAGTTCAGGGGGTTGTGTTGCCTGCCTGCTTCCTTTTCCTTAGTCTCTTGAAGAAATCAACAGGGAAGATGATGGGGTCAAAGTTGGTTCTGCCTCTCATTGACTCTGGCACCATCGATTGTCAGACTCTCTGCCTTCTGCTTCCCCAGTTCCAATGAGCACCAGCCACCACCGAGTAAGACTGATGGGATCCCCAAGTGATGGGATGATTTATGGAAATATGTCTGAGGGATGGATGAGAAGAATTCAGATTTTTTATTTTCTCTCTGTTCAGCTCAATGCAGGAGGAGGTACCCTTGCTTTTCCAAGACATCCAGCTGTGCTGATAGTTGGCTCGCCCCTAAATTGTCATGTTCCAGTCTTCAGACATCTAGGAGAGTGATGCTCAGGCACAGATGAGAAGTGGGAGGAGGCTGCCATGGGGATCACAAGCCTGTCTGAAGCCCAGACTTTCAGGGAGAGCACCTCCTTTGAATGCAGAAGGCCCCCAGTTAAATCGCGAGCATCTCCATTTGGGGCTGGAAGAAGCTCAAACTACATAATGCCGACATTCCTGGATCAGGGATGAGGAACATTTTTCAGCCTGAGGGCCGCAATCCCTGCTGGGCAGCCTTCCAAGGGCCATGGGCAGTGGTGGGCCAGGCCCAGAAGCAAAAGTAGGAGGAGCAACAAATGCAAATGTTACCTTGGTACAGTAAACTAGTTCCACACATGCTTACAAATCCCTCTATCTTCCACCGAGGAGAGTACGAGGCGTTTTTAGCATTCAAGGGCACATTCCAACCAGGCAAAAACACTTGAGAGTTGGAGCAAGCCTGCAGAGAATCTCAAAAACCAGGTGTGGGGAGAACATTTGGCCTAAGGTTCCCCACCACTGTCCTGGAGGATGGAAGAGGATCTTGGAGCCTTTTTGATAAGCAGCAGGGAATGCTGAGCAGATGCTTGCCTGTCACTATGAAGGCTGGTGATTTTGGGAAGTATGTAAGTGAAGTAATGGATACCAATTGCACAACACCACACTGCTGTGGCTTCTTCCCCGTAGTGCCTAGGCAGAAGTGGGATTTCAGGGGCAAAGGGCTTAATGCTGCTCACAGAGTACACTTAAAGCTGCTAAAGCCCCTTCCTCTGAGCTTCCTGACTTCTGCAGGAAGGAGAAGGTGCACACACAGAAGGGCGGGGGGAGGGCGGAAATAGTATATCTAGAGATGCCAGACCAAATGCGTGCAGCATTTTATGGCTGATGGCAGGAAAGTGTTTAAAGCAATCCAGATGGATCATAGGGGAAGGGCCATAGCTCATGGTAAAAAATTTGCTTTGCATGCAGAAGGTTTCAGGTTCAACCCCAGATGTCTCCAGGTAGGGCTTGGAAAGACTCCCTCTCTGAAACCTGCAGCTGCTGCCAATCAGTGTAGACAATTCTGAACTAGATGGACCAAGATCTGACTTCCTACATTCCTCTGCTATCAAACCAGTGAGCCACAGCCTATAAATGAATACCCCTTCTGGCTTGATAGCCTCTCTTATTCTTGACTGACTGCAGGGTCGCATAACAATGCCCAACCACCAAGCCTATCCCAAATAAAGGTTTCTTGGCAAACTGGCACAGATTCACTCTGGCTCAAGATTTCACCTCTGCCAGACAAAGAACCAGGAGGGGAACTTGCAGCATATGGCTTAGAGCACATTTTCCTTTTAAACACAAACATTTTGCATGTGTCATCTTTATGCACACGGGTTAACGATGTTTGCTGCTGTTATCGGGGCAGGGTTAAATTTAGCTTGAGTAAAAGGAATTGTAGTGCTGTGAAGTCATAAACACAAACCTCCCATGAAAATGAAGCAATAAAAACCTGGCCTTTATTGACACAAAGGAAACATGGCATGCTAAAAACTCAATGTGTGTGTGTGTGTGTGTGTGTTGTGTATTGCTCTAAGTTTTGATAAACTGAAGCAAATTGACTTTCCCCCCCTTATTTCTTCCCTCCCTCCTTCCCTTCGCCCCTGCTTCTTTGCCCAGCAAAGCAGCTTGGCCTGCCAATTTAGCAGGGAAAGGTTTTCCTGGTAGGGAAGAGCTTCACACATTAAATTTCTCTGTAAGCCCAGGAAGACAAGCACTCTGTTCTCCTGCTTCTGGTTCTCTTGCTTCGTTGGGCCAAACAAGGTAATGGTGAATGAGTCCAGATGCCATCTGCTGGAAAGGGGCAATAAGGATCAGGGTTATCAGCAGGTGGGGAGGCAAGGTTCAACATTTCCCTCTGTTGCTGCACTCCTGATGGCAATGGCTCCTCTCAAACAGCTCCAGGGGGAGGGGGCGCTCCTTCTTACTAAAGGAGGTTGCTCCCCCCACATTCCCAGGCCTGCACTAGGGGAGCAAAGCATTAAACCTCCTATCCTTACCTGTTGCAGTCACAATAATTATCAATCCACACACACCCTGCTGATGCTATTTACATTTCTTTAAAAACAACAACACCCTGCACGTTAAATTCAAAGCCAGTGGAGGCTGCTTCATTACAGTGAATGGGTCACTGCACCACCAACCTCAGTCTGCCCTCAGCCAGACCCCCCTCCCCCACCTTGCAGAACTGCGTCCTTATTTGCAAACAGTCCAGGAAGCAGAACTCAATGGGGGGGGTGGGGAGGTAAAAACTACAATAAGCTGGCTCGGTCTATCTTCTTCTTCTTCTTCTTCTTCTTCTTCTTCTTCTTCTTCTTCTTCTTCTATCACTTGTAGCCAAGTAAGATTGTCTTCCATGAACACGGAGTATGTAAGTGGCTGTGGAGGCCAGTTCTGGATCCACATGTCCTTCCACAGTGGGGACATAGTTTTCTGGGCGGGAGTTGATCACGGCAAGGGTTTGCCAAGCATGCCTTCCTCTTAGCACGTTTCTCCCTTTCGTCCCGACTCTGAGCATCTTCAAAGCCCATGACACCTTTGGTAAAGGCTGTTCTCCAACTGGAGTGCTCGCAGGCCAATGTTTTCCAGTTGTCGGTGTTTATACTACATTTTTTAAGATTTGCATTGAGAGTGTCTTTAAACCATTTTTTTTTTTTGTCTACCAGCATTACGCTTTCCGTTTTTAAGTTCAAGGTTGGTAGTACAATAGCTTTGTAAACAAGCATTTTGGTTCACCTGTGAATATCCCAGTCCTCAAACACGCTGCACTTGCAGAGCTCAGGCAATGCTGGATTTTGGCATCAATGTCGGTCCTTGTGGAAAGATAACTGTCCAGGTAGGAGAAGTGGTTGACACTTTCCAACGTTACACCATTGAGTTGGATTTGTGGCGCTGCAAAGGGGTTGTTTTGTGCTTGTTGGTCAGCACTTTGGTTTTTTGGATGTTGAGCAACAGGCCAAGCTTTCCGTAAGCTTCTGTGAAGATATTTACAGTAGGGTGGTTTGGAGGTCATCCTTTGAGTGTGTGCACACTATGTTGTCATCGGCATACTTCTCCCTGCCTGCCTGCCACCCTACTAGTCCCAATGGACAGCAGCCACTCCAAGCAAAGATGTATGCAGTGTCACAGGTAGTTTGGCTCTCATTCATTCCTCCTCATCAGTGGTACTATGGGGGAGACTTTGGGGAAGTAGTCCAGAGCTCCACGGAGCATAATGAGCAGGAGGACACCCCACCAAATGCAGACTGGCAGCAGCTTCTTCAAGGTTTCTGGTAGAGGACATTCTAGTAGAGGACGTTCCCAGCTGTTCCTGGAAATGTTGGGGATCAAACCTGGGACCTCCTGCATGTAAACAGATGCTCTACCACTAAGCTATGGCCTTTGCCACTTGTTCTCTCATTGCTCAGATATGGAGTCCTCCTTGCTTGGCTTCAATGTCTGAGCTCCCTTTGTTCAATTCCAGATTTCATATTGTACTACCTGCTTCCTATGGGAGAAAAATATAAATTCCATCTATGCTAGTGAGAACCCAAGGGGAGGAGGAAATGGCACAGTTTGCCCTATTAAAAAGTCTCACAATCCTAGAGCCTTCCACAGCTAATTATCACACAACGGGTGACCCATATTTCCTCTAATATTTTGCATCAGGCAGTATTTCTTGGTCAGTAAGGATGCAATTCCCAAATGGGCAAAAGATCTGGAGCCATGACTTACATCTCATTCCTGCAGGAGGGCTGAGATGGCTGCATTGTGGAGAGCTTAAATCTTTCCTCGGGGAAACAGAATGTTAACTAGTTCATTTCAATTCAGTGGCCAACCTAACGTATCCGATGATTTCGGTACTGCCGATTTACTGCGCTGTTAATGAGATACTGAAACACAGTTGAGGCGACAGCCTTTTAACACGTTCCCTGTCACAGCACTCTTGGGAGACCAGAATTGCTCCAATTGTCACAATTGTCATTTTACAGATATGGAAACGAGGCCCACAGAGACTAACGGTACTTTCGCATGGCTGATTAGCTCTGAATTATCCCATCATGAAGCAGGTATTCTGTTATGATTATTCTGCAACTGTGCAGCCAACACATATATTTTTTTTAAAAAATGCAACCATGGGCTGGTGTTTGAAAAATCACTCAGAATTTAAGAATGGACACCCTTGCTCAGTAGTAGAATGCAGAAGGTCTCAAGTTCAGATCCTGCCATCTTCAGTTAACAGATATTCAACTGACAGCTGAGCTAGGAAAGACTCAAGATCCTAGAGAGCTATTTCCAGGTGGAAGACAGGATTGAGCCGGATCAACTCACGGGCAAGATTTGCAGATAACATTAAGCCATGGTTTGCTTTTACAGTCTACAAACTATGGTTAGTTTGTTGTTAACAAACCAGAATATGAAAAAAATGGTTTGAAGTTGGCTTATGGATCTCTGTTTGCATGAACCATGGTTTCTCATGTTATGCCCAAGCCTGGGGGGTTCTCAATACCCAGACTCTCAGCTGGCCACAACAACAACAACAACAACAACAACAACAACAACATATTATCCGTAACCCATCTGGCTGGGTTTCCCCAGCCATTCTGGGAGGCTTCCAGCAAATTAAAGCAAAGGAAGAGCAAGGAGAAAACCAAGCCAATGTTAAGTGAAACAAGTCATGGTTACTTTGGGAGTGTAGCTCAGTTGTACAGCATCTGCTTTGCATGCAGAAGGTCCCAGGTTCAATCTCTAGTAACTCCAACAGTCTGGGAAAGATGCCTCCCACCCCGCCATAATCCCAGAGAACGTCAGTGATTGTTAGTGTAAACCAGTGGTTTTCAACCAGTGTGCTGTGGCACCTTGGGGTGCCTTGAATGATGGTCAGGGGTGCTGCGGCAATACCGACCTCTGTCCCTCTTTCTTTCCCTCCCTCTTCTGATGCCCCCTTGCCTCCCAAAGACTTGCATGGCTGTTTGTTGCAGCAGCCCTGGCTACAAGCTCCCCAGGCGAATGCCTCTGGAGCTGGCCAGTTGGTGCTTCCCAGGCCCCTGTGGGGCAGTGTGAGGAGGCATCTCTCTTTGGGGCCGGGGGGGGGCAGCTCAGAGACCAGGGGAAGCAGCTGAAGCTGCCCAGAGACTCCCAAGGAGAGGGGAGAAGAGAGGAGGCCGAGGGAACACTCCACGAGGGAGGGTGTTCAAAAAGGGGTGAGGGGCTGCTAGCTCTGCAGGCAAGGGGTGACATAACTGGGCTCCCGAGTCCCACAGGGGTGCTTCAGAAAGAATGTAGTTGGTCACGGCAGCCGTGGAACCAAAACGGTTGAAAACCTCTGGTGTAGACAATAGTGAGCTAGATGGACCAATAGTCTCACTTGGTGTTAAGGCAGCTTCCCATGTTCTGCAAAACTGATTGTAGCTTCTACAGCAAACTATGGTTAAAACAAACCACAGCTCAGCACCGACACCCAACCGCCTCCCAAACCTCATGGAAGTTTAATCAAAAGTTTCAGAGAACACAAAAGTAGCTTATTGGGGTTTTGTTGAAATATGACAGGCTTTACAATAGGCAGGATGCATAATTTTAGCATCTTATACGTCATCTGTGCTTCCCTAAATTGGGAATTGTAAGCTCTTGTTTTATTTCTAAAAGAGAAGTGCTAGCATTGTATTTTTTTTTTAAAAAAGATAGCAATAAGATCATCTACCCACAAAAAACAACAATTGTCTTTTTGTGTGTGAAAAGCTGAAAATTATCAAGTCTGAACTCATAATATCAAACATCAAAAAGAATAATAATAATTTAATGACATGACAGTTTATTCAATTTGGAAATCTTATTGATTTTTTTTTAAAAGGAAATTCAGGGTCATTTCCACTGCCTTATCTTATCACTTCTGGTGGAATATTAACAAGTCAGGCCTATAAGATGCCAGCAAACCCTGATTTTGCCATGGACTAGAACAATTAGGGAACGTCGAATGTTCAGGACTTTGTTCAATTTTATCTGTTAAGTAGCACAATATTTTCTTTCTCTTTTTGATCAAGCACCATTCTAGGAGGCCATAGAAAATGTTCAGCTTAACTTGGGTTTAAGTATTAGAGATGAGGAAGCTGTGACCCTCTGGATACTGGTGTCACAGTGTGAATGTCGGACTATGACTTGGAAGACCCAGATTTAAATCCCCACTTGGCCACAAAGCTCACTGGGTCACCTTGGGCCAGCCACTGCCTTTCAGCCTAGCCTACCTCACAGGGCTGTTGTGGAGATTAAATGAGGAGGAGGGAACCATGTACGCCGCCTTTAACTGCTTGGAGAAAAAGGTGGGATATAAATGCAATGAGCAAATAAACAAATAAATAATAGCCTACAACTCCCATCATCACCAATAGTTTTGTATGATGGCATTTGTAGTCCACTGGAAGGCGACATGTTCCCCATCCATGCTATAGATCAGAAGCTGATGTACTGTAATTCCCATATTTTAAAAATGTTTTCACTGTTTTAATCTTTTGATGGAAGCGATTTATTGTGTATTTTTAATTATGTGTGGATATATTTTTTATAATTGGTTTTACCCCTGTAAACTGGATATATTTTTTATAATTGGTTGTACCCTTGTAAATTGCTTAGAAGCCATTTTGGCATGTAAGCAGTATATAAGTTAATAAACCATCACCATTCTTGGCCACTCCTCTGCTGACTGGGGCTGATTAACTCTCATTAGCCCTCTGGCAACATCTGGAGTCCAGCAACATCTGGAGGGTGCCACACTGGCTATTCCTGGTATAGTGTTGTGGCTATTATGACCCCACAGAAAAGAAACATAAAAGTAGTACAGTAAAGTGTATTTTCTTACTGGAACCTACGTTGATTAAAAAAAGTGACGATTATATAAGCTTTCAAATCACACAAAATGTATTTTCTGATGCTTACTTCTATGGCATGCAATGACACTCACTGGTAAGAATTCAGAACTTTAAAAGCCATGGAAGTTTGTGTTAGAAAATTCTGACCTTCACCTGTAAAACAGCAAAGCCAACTTAGCTGTCTTCAGAAAATTCCCCTCCCTTTATTTCAATCAATAAAGGCATTTACTGTGCTGCAGGTGTAAATATCAATACAACCCTGATAATACAAATGTCTCCTAGCGTTTCTTGCTGGACCTAAAAAAATCCCAGGAGTAGCTCATCAACGAGCACATTCATCACATTTCTGACATTTACTGTACCACATGCCTGACATCCAACAAAGTAGACTGTTGCCTGCAATAAACATAATAGCCCTCAGATCCCATTATTCCCCATCCCAATTCAAGAGAGAGGTGAGTCAACGAAAAAGGGTGAGTTTATCCACCAGTGTTGGTTTTCCTATTTGTTTCTAAATAGGCATCTGATCTTGGGTGGAGGTTCTGTCTTTTGCATTTAAATGATACCCTCCCAAATTATGGACACAATCAAATGCATGTGAATGTCTACATTTGGAGTGCATTGTAGCTCCAAACTAAGCTCGCTTCTTCTATTTAAGAATTTACTATAGGTCTAGACTATAGGTCTAGACTAACTAGACATGCCACTGAATGCACAACTGTATTTAAAATATTTAGTGCTTTTTCCCTCTGCTAAATAAATGGGGAATGATCAGGATTAGGACTGTAGTACATGGGAAGGAATCGTCAAATTGTAGAGTTGGAAGAGACCCCAAGGGTCATCTAGTTCAATTCCCTGCAATGCAGGAATCACAACGAAGGCATCCATGACAGATGACCACCCAACCTCTACTTAAAAACCTCCCAAGAAGGAGTCCACAATCTCCTGAGGGAGACTGTTCCACTGTCAAACAGCTCTTACTGTCAGAAAGTTCCTTCTAATGTTTAGTCGGAATCTCCTTTCTTGTAACTTGAAGCCATTGGTTCAAGTCCTACCATCCAGAGCAAGAAAAAAACAAGATTGTTCCCTCTTCCATGTGACAGCTCTTGAGATATTTGAAGAAGGCTGTCATAACTCTTCTCAATCTCCTCTTTTCTGGGCTAAACATACCTAGTTCCCTCAACCATTCCCCATAAGGCTTGGTTTCCAGACCCTTGATCATCTTGGTTGCCCTCCTCTGCACACGTTCCAGCTTATCAACATTCTTCTTAAACTGTGGTGCCCAGAATTGGACACAGTATTCTAAGTGTGGTCTGACTAAGAAAGAATAGTGTGGTACTATTACTTCTCTTGATCTGGACACTATATTTCTGTTGATGCAGCCTAGAACACCATTAGTTTTTTTGCTGCTGCATCACACTGTTGACTCATGCTAAGCATGTGGTCCACCAAGACCCCTAGATCCTTTTCACATGTACTGCTAGTAAGCCAGGAGTCCCCCCCCCCCCATCTTATATTTGTGCATCTGGTTCTTCCTGCCTAAGTGCAGAACCATACATTTGTCCTTATTGAAATTCATTTTGTTACCTAGGGCCCAGTTATTTAAACTGCTAAGGTCATTCTGAATTCTGGATCTGTTTTCTGTGGCATTAGCTACCCCACCAGTTTGGTGTCATCTGAAAATTTGATGAGCATCCCCTCAATTCCTTTTCCCCCCGCCAAGCGCATAAAACTGAATGAGCACAAGTTAAATGTGTGTTAAATTGCAGGCTCATTGTACTTGGAAAAAATCCTGCTATCAAAGCCTGCTGCTACACACTTTAGCTTCTGATTGTGTTAGATCTCAAGACTTAAGTCAACCTAGACCAACTGAACTTGGAAAGAGAGAATTCCCAGGAAAAAAATGGTGGTGAAGAAAGATTTTACATTGCAATAACCAAGTTCACATGTGACTGGGATGAGTAAGGGCAGAGAAGGGATGCAATCACAAACTTCCCTGATCAAGGCCAGGGCAGCAGATCAAGAAGAATGAATAACGGTAATTTATACGACTTGTCTACTTGGCTGCTTATGACACGTAGGCAGTCAAGTATATTTAGGAACACAGGAAGCTGTCTTGTACTTGGTAATCTCCCCTGCAAACAAATCTGAATGAACGCTCAGGATATTATAAAAAAATTGAGTGTCTGGAAGCAGCTAAAGAGCTGTGGCAGGGGGACATGCTATTTAATGGGTAAATGAACTGAATGTATGCTAGGCAGAGTGTGGTTTAAGGCAGTGGCTTCCTGTTCTCTTTACACATGAAGGCAGGATTGGAACCATCAAGGCACAATAAAACACAGTCTGAATTTTGACAGAAGGTTCTGGGATTATGGTTTAAGAATCAATGTGGAATTGATTCATACAGGACATTTTTTTTTCCAGTGGCTGAGTCCAAAACCACATGATTAAGATGAATGGCTGAAACGGGTAAACACACACACACAAAATGCCATGTATCCTTCCAAGAATGTTTCACACAGAACTGCCAATTGAAAATCTTTGCGGTGTCTCTGGCAATTTAACCCTGGCATTCAAGAGGCTTTCCCTTAATTTTTAATTCCTTAAGCATGAAACACTTGCCTCAATAAATAAATAAATTCTGCACTTTGGGAGAAAAATAACTGTCTTCAGAGCTTACTTGACTCACAGTTCTAACCTTGGCTATGCCCTTTGGGCTGAAAACTATATTACTATAATATTATTCTTTTTTTGTTGCTTTATTTGTTGCTAAAAAGAAAGGTCTCACGGAAACTTACATCATCATAAAACACAAAAAGAGCAAAAATCAGTTAAAAACCAGATAGTAATAACAAGAAAGAGGGGAAAGCAAAGTACAGAAACAAATATTTCCTCAAGTGCTCAAACAAGCAAGGAGAAATCCTATCCTAAATTTTATGCACTGCGTTTGCATGTTTTCCGTCCTCCGGTGAGCCCAAGGTGACATCCATGGAGACTCTTTATCCTCACAACAACTCTCTGAATCTATGAAAGAAAGGGCCAGTCAAAGATCACACAGCGAGCTTCCTAGCAAGGCCAGGACTTGAACTTAATTTCCCTGACCCATGCCAGACTGTTGGCAGCCCTCTGTCTTGGACTCAGTAGGAAAGGGTGCTTTTGGGGGTAAAGTGAAACCATTGGAGAGTTACAGTGCCTGCTGTGGCTGCAGAGGCTGATACAGGAGGAGAGACATGTTTTATTGCAGGTGGGGTAGATGAAGGCTGCCACAAGTGCACCACAGAATTCTTCTCTCTGTGCTCCTCCCGGCAGTCCTTCCGCCTCTGGTCGCTGCTGCAGATACATGACCTGACTGTCTCCTGGCACTGCCATCGTCCCATACAGCCTACAGGTCATGTCTGCAGACATCTCTGTAACACAGAGCTGGTTTGCCAACAGGCCTAGTGCCTGAAACCAGCTCCCTGTAGAGCATGTCCTCAGGGAACCTGCCATCTTCCATTCTGTGGATGTGAGCAAGCCAGCGTAGATCTATCCAGGAACAGTTGGCAGTGTGGCACTGTGGAGCCAGCATCCCAACAGCGACATTCCTGGTACATATACAGGACAGGGTGGTCCCAAGGTTGAGGTGGTGCAGGCACACTGGCAGGAGTGCCAGAGTGACTCCACCAGTGTACCCACCTCGCCACTGCCCTGTCCTGCCCTGCATCTGCCCTGTCCTGGTAAGTGACAGTGATAACGCTGTGATGAGGCCCACTGACTACTCCTGCATCTAGCTCAGTATTCTCTAACCTGGAAGGCGGCGGCTGATTTGACACCGGGGGCACGATACAAGAAGACCTGGAATATGGCACACGTGGAAAAACTTAAGGCTCTAAAAGATACACGAAACAAAGACAATTTTGAGAAACACCAACAGGGCAAGGTCATCGCTGTTCACTCATGGCAATCTCTAGAGCAGCCTTTCTCAACCTGTGGGTCCCCAGATGTTGTTGAACTACAACTCTCCTCACCCCTAGCTCGCAAGGCCAGAGCTCAGGGATGATGGGAGTTGTAGTCCAATAACATTTGGGGACCCACAGGTTGAGAACCAATGTTCTAGAGTAATCTGCTAAGACAATACACATGTTATTACCTGTGATGGGATGATGAGCTGCTTGTGCGTAAAATAGTATCCCCTCAGAGTTTGTTCAAGTCCACAAACCTCTGTCTGTG